ACCACCACCACAACCACCACCACAAGCCATCGCCTCATTTTCTGCGTCTCCCACTTCCACGCCGACCAACTTTCGTTTTTGCCTGCCTACTCTCCACCTATTCGCGGAGCTGCGTACGGACTCTTCACCTTCTCACTTCATGCGCTACGATACAACACGATACGGCACGATACAAGGCTTGCGAGGTAACGGCACCTTGGCCAGTTAACAAACGACGACTCATCTGGCCACGGCATCAAAACCTGTATTAGCCGCTTCCACCACACACAACCAACCCCTCTCTTCACCAGCACCAGACCAGGCGGCTCTCCCTTTGGGCATTCCATTGTCTTTTCACCTGGCCAGATTGCTCTTGCTTCGCAACATCATCCACGCCGCCTCGAAAAGAGTTCCACGACGCTTCAAAGGCCCTCTCCGTGTCTCTCATCTCGCCGCTCTGGCAGTGGTTACCGGGACTGGCCCGCACGCCGCCCTCGGTCCAGCGCACCCTGCGTTTGACTAAAGGACAGACGCATCCTTGCCTGGGCTGCTACGCTGCACTTCTCGAGCAACCAGAGCAACACGCGACCACCTTCCATCCCCAGTGTCAGTGTTAGTGTCATGCGACTGCAGCCGCCATGTTGCTTCCTCAGCGCCTGACGAACATGAGGCTTCTGCCCATCCTCGTCGTCTTCGTTGTCTGCATCTTCCTCCTGACTACGGCTCGCTTCCGCCACAGCTCCTTCGTCCACAGCATCTCTCACAAGCTGGCTGGCGACCAGTCCAAGCACGACGAAAAGCCCCTTGACGATAAGACCCAAAAGTTCCAGCCTCCTCATGCGCCCTCCGAGCGCCCGCCACTGGCGCCCGGCGAGTGCATCCCCGAGGTCGAGTTCTTGCGCCGCGCCGAGCTCGGCCTCTCTGATAACATTGTCTACTCGAGAAGGTGTATCCGCCCAATCGGGACCGACAAGGTCGACCGAGATGTAGTCGCCAACATCTCCCGCCCTCTGATCAACCACAAGACCACCATCAACCTGACCTCGTGCTCCCATGTCGAGTTCGTCCCTTGCGATCACCTCCCATTACATGTTCCATTCGCATATCCCGAGGAGCAGTACGATCATTTCGTGTTTGGCGTCTCAACCACGTACAAACGTCTCGGTGACTCTCTGCCTGCCTTTGCTCACTGGCTCACCGGCACCAAGGCCACCCTTGTCGCTGTGATAGTCGATGCCGAAAAGGACGGCGAGGCCAAGAACTTGACTGCGCTCGAGGAGCTGTACGCCCAATCCGATGTGATCTTGTCCACCGCAAAGGGAAATGCCTCTCTCACCACAGATCAGAATCACTTCACCATGCTCAAGGATATTCTAGATGCCACAACTCCAAATACAAAATGGGTCGGGGTCCTCGACGACGACACCTTTTTCCCCAGCCTCTATCCTCTGAACCAGGCCCTGAAGACATACGACCACACCAAATCACTGTGGCTTGGCGCCTTGTCCGAGGACTTTGGCAGCGTTCGCTCCTGGGGTTTCATGGCCTTTGGCGGAGCCGGCATCTTTTTGACCATGTCATTGGCACGCCAGCTCGAGCCCTACATCCATCAGTGCATAGCCGAGGCTCGCCTGCCCACTGGTGATGCAATCCTCCGTGACTGCGTGTACGATCACTCGACGACGAAATTGACCCTCGTCCCCGGCTTGTTCCAACATGACATGCACGGCGATGTCTCTGGCTTCTACGAGTCAGGCGTGCGGCCCCTGTCTCTCCATCACTGGAAGTCCTGGTACAAGGAGCCCGTCGACAAGATGGCAGCGGTGACGGGAATATGTGGCGATTGTTTCTTGCAGAGGTGGCAATTCGGAGAGGATACACTTTTTGCAAATGGGTACTCCATCTCTCTTTATCGGAATGGAGTAGAGAGCGTCGATCTCAGCAGGATGGAGGGCTCGTGGCATCCCCACGGTCCTGAGTACGACTTTAGTGTTGGTCCATTACGACCCAAGCTCGGCAAGGATGAGAAGAGGAGCTATCGCCTAAAGGATGTGCAGCTCACAGAGACTGGTGGCTTCAGGCAGATCTACGTTTACAAAGCCGACTGGGAGGCTGGCGAGGAGATGGACGAGGTCGTTGAACTGCTCTGGGAGAGCTGACCAACCTACTTCTAATAAGCAAGTCTGATTGCCAACTGGAGATTTGATTGAAGCAAGGCGCTTTTCGGTGTTTAGATATGGGCTTGTAACTACTTGATTTTAGCGACGGCCATGCAGCATTTGAACTTGCATGCCCTCCCCAAGGCAATTGCACTATTTCAGGTGTTGGGATTTGTATGCATGCGCGCACCGCGCTTGAGGCTCGATTGGGAGATGACTTAATAATGTACGATACAATACCTACTTGATGAATAAAAGAAAACAACATTTATATGTTCAATACTCGCGTGGTGAGATTGGTTATTACTGCTCAGACGAGCAACCCAATAATATTAGGCTAAGCTCCCATATCTGCTGTCGTTCTGCATCCCTGACTGCAGTTTCTTTCTTCAAACGCATCACGTTTGACGCCGTGTTATATCCACAATGGTGGTTCAGTCTGAAGAAATACATGTCTTTGCGCCTATCTTGGTCACTATATACGACTTGGTGATAACCCAAAACAGCATCTGCCAGTAAACCCCACGTAAAGCCAGGTAAGCCTTATGTTATCCACAAATCCGCATTATTGACGATCCATAATCGAGCCTTGAACTTTGAACTTTTTTCATTTGGTACTGCGCAGGCCAGTTCCGTTTGCAAAGAATGAAGAACAGAACGCGACTAGAGCAAATGCAGCAGAAGCCCCGAATGAATAGCGCAACCCATCGTAATAGACCAATCGTGCTCTATATTGAATATCTGGTGGAAGTTCTTTCAACGCTGCTATTGAGTGCCGTATTTCGTCAATGACCTATTTCCAAAATGGATTAGTATTCGGGCTCTTTTCAATCATTGAAGCTCAAATCTGCGAAATATAAGTGAAGGACATACCACTGTCTTGTTTGGTAGACCACTCAAAGCGGAGGGCAGACGGGCACTCAGGGTTGTCTGCACGATGGCGGACGTGATAGAGACTCCCCAGACAGTGCCCAACTACAATGTCAAAAGTCAGCATTGAGTGAACAAATCTTGAGATATGAATACGGGATGCTTTTTCAGTCCCAAAGAAAAGTCATTGTTCGAAAGCTTTGAACATAAGGTATCAAGTAGGAAAGAAAATTAGATCGTCTGCCAAGTAAGGGGACACGAATTCTGGAGTTTGCTTACGGATCGGATCAGATAAACTGTTGAGGCAGAAACTGCATGATCTAGAAATCTGGTTCAGCACAGCATGTGAGAAGAAGGAGCGAGGTGAAGCATACCAGCGTGGTCGAAAGAGGCCAGAGAAGTGAACAGAATCCCCGGGAACACAATGCCTTGGCCAAGATTTGCGGGAAAGATGTACAAGAAGTACTTCCATGAAGCATCGTGAAATGCCAGCGAAGCTACCAATGCATTTCCCACAGTCATCACAAATGCCCCAGTCCGTACAAGTGTCAACAGCTTGCCCCATCTCGACATCACGATACCGGCGATCAAACTGCCAATAGGAGTTGCCAGAGACGGGATAGCCAGTCGTGCTCCAGCAGTTGTGGCAGAGTCCAAGAGCACAACCTGGAAAAACAGAGGTAGCATGAATAGAAACTGTGTTTAAGTGAGCCTTGAGAACATGATATTGAGAGCATGGACTTACGGCATACGCAGCTAGCCCAACACACACATTAGAAATTTGGGTCAAGACCGGAAGCCTTCCCTGGAGCATTCTTAGTGGAATAATGGGTATAGCAGCAGTCTTCGCCTCGACGACGAAAAAGACTCCAAAAAGAATGACACTTCCGACAAGGGATGCGATAACCCACTGGCTGCTCCATGGAAGCTCGTTTCCGCCTAAACTTAGGCCAAGCAGCTGTACAGTTATAGCGGTGACAAGTACTAGAGCACCAGTGATATCTAGCCTCTTCCATGTAGTCTTGAATGTGCTTCGATCAATCAAGAATCCCCCTTGAGGATTCTTGATGACAAGATAACCCGATATAAGGGCAAAAATGGATATGGGAACCTGGAGAAGGAAACACCATCGCCACCCAATGCTGTCTGATATTGACCCTCCGAAAGATGCACCGCATATGGACCCAAAGCCATATACGCCATTCTGAAGAGCCTGGTACATTCCTCTTTTGCGAAAAGGGATCATATCTGAGTTGACAATAGTGGCTGATTTGCTTAGCCGAGGTTCTCCATATCGTATCTAGACGAGCTTACCCATCGTCATGAGTCCACCGCCACCGAAACCTGTAAGGGCTCTCATGCAATTGAGCAGAATAATGTTGTTTGCAACACCACAACCAAGACAGCCTATAGCAAAGGTAGCAGAAGAAATAAAGAAGCAGATGCGGCGTCCAATAATGTCAGATACACGTCCATAGAGAGGCTGAAAAGCTGTGCTGGTGACCAGGTACGATGTGGTCAACCAGGATGCGGTATTCGCAGCATGAAATTCAGAGCTGATGGTGGAATATGTTGCAGCTGTGATTGTAGTATCAAATCCATAAAGAAAGACGTTTGACATGATAGCAATTTGAATGCCAACAAATCCTCGCGATGGTGCCCATGAGTGCTCTTCCGGCGCATGCAATAGGGGCTGATCTTCGCGTTCATTGCCATTGTATCGAATACCGTCCCTTTCTAAGGAACTCCCTTCTTCCTCATCAATTGGCATTATGGCTAGAATAGTAAGGATCCCTTAGTCTTTGCAAATGCTGTAATGGCCAGAAGTTAACTGATGATATAACTAGAATCTGAATGTGGTGCAATATTTACTAGTAAAAGATATGGATACCGATATCTTAGAAGTATGTGAAGGGTCTCACTATCGTGTAAAACTCCTATTGATACCAGCTTTGAAGAATTTTCGCACGCGTTTGCATCCTGCATTATCAATATGGGACAGCCCCGTAGAGCGGATCCGATGCCGTTCAAAGATGCACGGAACATGCATGCGTCCACTTGACTGAACTTGATAGGATGATAAACTACTACGCTAGAGCAACTGGTAAGAGCCAGCATCACCTAATTTTTACAACATATCACGCCTTAAAAGTCACCACATTAACTCTTCTATGTCCACCCAGAACAGTAATGGTAAAACGATGGACCCGGGGTACATAGTAAAAGCCGTCGCGGAAGGAGCAACATACGTATCAAGATCCAAGCGAAGACTTTCACGACGATCTGCGCCCGACTGCATGGAGTTAGAGTGCGCTAAATTATTTTGCTTCCAAGACTATCAAGACGAATACATGATTGACGAATGCATTACGTGATTCAGGCAGAGATGCAATCATCTTGTGGGAGACTCACTACAATGTCAACTTCCCAAGATATGACTACATGATCCCAAATGAGGAGCACACAGCCGATGTCGCAGACTTTTTGTGATAGGAGATACAAATATCGAATAAATACCACTCACTCCCAAACACCTGCGAGTTCTCGCCATCATTGTCTAAATTACTCTGCCTCCTAAACATCCAACAATTCACAAATACTTGCCTCGCTTGACAATTTTATGTGGTCATACTGGTAGTTTCTCTAGGGTTCAGCGACAAGACAAGGTGAATGTACCAGAAATTTGGGTTAGTGAAAATGACGGTAGCTGACGCGGTTAGTATTGCCGCCGCGCAACCTGGTCTCGTGCATCATGAGGTCGCTACTTCAAGTTATCTTGGTTTCCACCATTGCGAACCGCGCAATGGCAAACTGGCAGTTCAGGTCTCGTCCAGATCTGGCGCCACCCCGCCTGAATATCACTATTCCTGCATCTGACAAAACCGAGGAAGGCTTCCTATTCGTAGCTCCATTCGCTGGCTTCCCTGACACGCCGACTGAACAACATGGGCCAAGGCAAGCTGGCCCGTACATTTTTCGGGACGACGGAGATCTGGTCTGGTCTGGTTATGGCATCTACAGTATCTGGTCGACTAATTTTCAGGCTGGACGTTGGGGTGGCAAAGACATTCTCTTTAGCTTTGAAGGCGATCACAACCCCGGCTATGGTCATGGCCATGGTCATATCACCTTTGTGGATCAACATTACGAGACCATACGCGAACTGAGAGCGGGCAACCACAAATTGGTTGACAAGCATGAATTCCACATCGTTAACGAAACCACTGGCTTGATACAGATCTATCAGCCTGTGCCGCGTGACTTGACCCCTTGGGGTGCGAAACCAGAGCAACAGTGGATTGTCAATGCCATCATCCAAGGTGAGCCAGATCTTTTGAGCACACCGTCGAACAGCGACAGCATGGTTGCTAACGCTCATCAGAGTTGGATATCGCTACTGGCAAACTTTTGTTTGAGTGGTCCAGTCTAGATCATGTGCAACCTGATGGTATGTTGTAGCCTCTGGTATAATTATCAATTCTGATGAGCCCTTGTCTTATTTATTACAACAGAAGCTGTCTTACCGATCAATCCCGGCCAGGCTGGATCAGGTTATAACAGCTCGGATGCCTGGGACTACTTTCACATCAACAGTGTTGATAAGGATAAAGATGGAAATTATCTTGTCTCTGCTCGGGATGCCTGTGCTGTACACAAAATCAATGGAACAGATGGAAGTATCATTTGGAGACTGAACGGGAAGAGAAGCTCTTTCAAGTTGACGAAAGAATCAAAATTCTGCTTCCAGCATCATGCGCGATTCTTGGATCAGCACGATGATGTTGAGATAATCAGTCTTTACGACAACAGCGCACATGGCACAGAGCACGGCGGAGGCTCCGAAGTGCATACAGCACCGTGGAGCAGCGGGAAGATCCTGAAACTCAACACAACAAGCTGGACTGCTGAACTGGTGCAAGGCTTCTACCCTCCAGAAGGAACAGAACTTCTTTCGAAGAGCCAGGGATCCACACAGATCCTACCAAATGGGAATGCACTAGTCAATTGGGGTTCCGAGGGCGCAGTGACAGAATATTTGCCCACTGGGCAGGCTATTTTCCATGCCTACATGGACTCGGGGTTTCTCGGCGACGGAGTTGAGAACTATCGAGCTTTCCGCTACAATTGGA